GCATGATATTATGAACAATTACGTTTTTTTTTTGTAAATAATTTTGTCTCCCTTTCAAAACGTTTTAAATTATTGCCCACTGTGTGTTCTTTAGACCAGTGTCAGAAATTAAAGTTTTTATAAAAAGACCATATCAATACATTTGTGGGTGAAGTCCGCTAAAATGGGCTATCAGGTAAAATGGGCCAAATAAAGTTGTAGCGTCATATCTCTTAAAATTTTTATAGTCAGTCACAATAACTGGTCTTGCATTGTTGCTTCAACACTTGTTGACATTTGACAATTGTAAGGTAAGTGAGCCTGACATAGTAAATTTCTTTCATCATCAGTAAGGGTACTAAAGCAATTATACATATGCTTACCAACAAAGCAAAGGTTTATGAACAATGTTTTGACATGCTCTTTCAAGTAAAAAAGTTTAATATAAAAAAGAAACTTCGGATTTTGTGAAAAACGTAATTTTAGGTAGAAATGGGTGGTTAAGCTCAAATGGGCCACACTTTTCAGCTAAAATGGGCTGCATACACACACAGAAATTGAGGGTGAAAATAGGTTTATAGGCCTAGATATGTGTGCATACAAAATCTACATACACACATAAACTACCAGTCAAAAGTTTTTGAACAGTGAGATTATTATTATTTTTTTTTTAAATGTTGAAATATTTTTGCTATTTAAAATAACTGTTTTCTATTTGAATATATTTTAAAATGTAATTTATTACGGTGATCAAAGCTAAATTTTCAGCATCATTACTCCAGTCACATGATTCTTCAGAAATCATTCTAATATTCTGATTTGCTGTTCAAGAAACTTTTTTTATTCAGTTGAGTACATTTTTTCAGGATTCTTTGATTAATAGAAAGGTCCAAAGATCAGCATTTATCTGAAATAAAAAGCTTTTGTAACATTATACACTACTATACCATTCAAAAGCTTGGAGTCGATATTAAATAGTAAAAATATTTCAAAATTGTACTGTTTTTGCTGCACTTTGAATCAAATAAATGCAGGCTTGGTGAGCAGAAGGGACTTCTTTAAAAAAAACAAAAACATTAAAAATCTTACTGTTCAAAAACTTTTGAGTGGTAGTGTACATGCACACAAAAGACACAAATGCACAGAAACACACATCTATACAACATGATCAGTTCATTTTTAATTGCATTGTTTAATGAAATATTCAGTCGACTTTCTATTTAATGAAATGCATATGGTGCTGTTGCTATGGCACACTAAAGACAATAGTGTCAATTTACTGTTAAAAATAAAATGATTTCAGCTGAAATTACCTGTGTTGTTCTCTTTTTATATTGGCCCATTTTACCTGAATGTTGTGCCGTGGCTCAAGAATAATTTTAAAACAATTATACTTTTTGACATTTAAAAAATATATACATATTTAAGAGACCCATGCTAATTTATAAAAATATCATTAGATCTCATGCATAGCTTATTTGATGCTATTATAAGTCATTTACCAAAACGTGGCCCATTTTAGCTGACTTCACCCTACTTAAATTCCATTTCAGTTAATTAAATAATTGTCATATTTATAATATTAATATGATATTATAAATATTGTACAAACAGTATATTATATTATAACTATATGTGTCTGCTGTTGCAGACGATTTTGTGTCTTCATCAAAACAAAACACGTATGATCTGTTTAAACACTAATTACTAAGAACAGAATAGAATACTATGAAGTAATATGTAATATGAAATCAAATGTTATAGTCTTAGAAAGAGCCTGGTGTAATTAGTAAAGTAATTGCGTTTTTTTACAACTATTAATCTCTTTTATGTAAATAAGTGGCAAATATAATTGGCATTTAACATTAACTTCCAGAAGAAATGTGAAAAGTGAAAGACCAGTTGCAAATCCTACACATCTCCGTCTTTAAATAAATGATATCATATTCTATAAAATACAGTAAATATAAAATAAAATGTTTTATCTAAAATAAAATGTAAATACATGTGTTGTTGTGGTTTCAATAGCTTGTTACTGTTAGACGCCGTAGGACTTTTGTTTTGAAGTGTCGTCGAACGCTTATTTACCAGGAAATGGAATTCCGAAATTATTGCGCGAAAATCAACGAAATGACAGCACGAGTTAGAATGGCTGAGAATGGTGCACAGGTATATCTGACAAATCAGTTAAAGCTTTCCCATTAAAGCTTTAAGTAAACATACAATTACTTGATACATTTAAACGTATGCTTGCATTATGACCCGCTAAATGGAATGGACTGTTCCTGTCGATTTACATTAAAATGGGTTCATTCAGATGATCATTAAAGTGTTTAACTAAATCTCAGTCGACGGAAGCTCAAACTGAGGTTCAGGCATTTCTGCATTATGTTTAAATGGAATCGTACAATTGAAAGTACTGGCATGCCACTTGCTGTACCTTGCTTGCAGTAAACATCAGTGTTTTTGCTTTTGTAGTTGGTAAGCAGACTTGAAGGGCGACAGTCATTGAGGGACATTGAACCCAATATATTTCCCGTCGACGGTGGTCCAGGTCAAGGTGAAGTAAATACAAGCTGACCCTGCGTGTATTAAACACAGATTTAATTTTTTTAGTAGTGCTTTAAGTTGTTTTCACGTTAATTTGGAGACTCAATGTGAAAATATAATACCGTGGTCTATAAAATGATAGCAAATTTGAGGTATAAATAGCCTACAGATTTTCACAGGTGGCAGTTGATACTTGACTTGATGTAATTTTTATGAAGTCCCCATATGTGTATGATAATATCTCATTTGTAAGTCGCTTTGGGGGAGAAAAAAAAAGTTACTACTATATGAATGTAAATGTTATGGTTAATACATACTGAAAAAAATCTATATTTTCTTATTTCCCATCGTATTATGCAGACTCCAAGGAAACTATAAATAAGCCGTATATAAGACAAGAAGTAAGAACACTGTGACTCTGTTGATTGAGATACACTCGGTATCTAAAAAAAACACCTTTTTGAAAGCAAACATTTTTGCAGTACCATTTGGTGCCACTACTGGTGTAAAAAATAACACACTTGAAGGGATAGTTCACCCAAAAATGAAAATTTGATGTTTATCTGCTTACCCCCAGGTCCCATTTGCTATGTTAACTCAAATTAGCACTTGAATAGAGCGCTTCAGTGATGACATATATTTGTAGGCCAACCCGGCAGTTCGCATCACCCTGGTTCCCTCAACAAAAACCCAATAGGATTGATCTATTGGCTTTTGTATTATTGCAGAAAATGAGCTCTTAGATGAACAAAAAAGTTATGATCCTTACACATTTTGTTCATCATCTTCACAAGTGAACACAACATGTATTAATTCTGAATGAATGATGATGTTTAATGCCCAGACAACCTCTTTATATTTCCATTTTAGCCACATGTTAGCAATCACTTTAAGACAAAAAAAGTCAATCAAAAGGGTGTATTGCTGATGTATTTTATTTTATAGAATAAAACATGAAAATATCTTAAGCTTGTGTAACTACAGTCCATATTACAGGCATTTAACCAAAAAACCCATAGACTTAAGGGGATAGAACTGGAAGTGTTAAAATGCTAATTCATTTCCAGGTTTTTCCCAACAAAAATATGTCATCCATGTAGCACTCTATTAAAGTCTAAAGGTCACTGCACACTGAGTCTGAAATTTTCGTATGAGTTTTTTTTTCTTTTTTTTTCTCGGATTCGTCATCCTTTCCTATCAAAATGCTTGCTACGGATGTGAAAACGCAGAAAATCGAAAAACAACGGCGATCCGACGAGTTTGAAAATCATGCAGTGTGAACTCGGCATGAGTCTTAATTCAGTTCTGCATCCATCCAGGTGACGTCGTGGAGTTTCATGGCTTGGAGGGCACAGGAAAGACAGAAACCTTGTACCACGTCATCACCCGCTGCATCATGCCAGTCCAGAGTGGAGGTCTGGAGGTGGCGGTGGTCTTCGTTGACACGGACTACCACTTTGACATGCTGCGCTTAGTGAGCGTTCTGGAGGGGCGTTTGGCTGAAGGCTCTAAGGAGGGTGATGGCTCTGAAAACGAATCCGAGGAGAGGGTACGTTCATGTCTGTGCAGGCTGTCTGTAGTGCACTGCAACAGCTCAGTACAGCTCCTCCTAACCTTACAGTACCTCGAAAACACCTTTTCCAGCCAGCCCTCCCTCGGCCTTCTGATCATCGACAGCATTTCTTCCTTCTACTGGGTGGACAGATTCAATGGCGGCGAGAGCACTGTTTGTCAGGAGGCTAACCTGAGAAAGTGTGCCGAGTTGCTGGACAGACTCCGCAGAAACTATGGCATTGTGATTTTTGCCACTACTCATGCCATAATGAGGAACTATGCATCTGATCCAGGGGTGTCAGAAGTGCCCGGCTCATCATCATCATCATCATCATCATCTCGCAGGTGGAAAGCGTGCACTTTAAAAAAAAAAAAAAAGGGGAAAGATTCAGTGGCTTAGTAAAGCTCACAATCAAGTTTATTACCTTAAAAATATCTGATTATCACATTGTTTGAGTTGGACACACCTAAATAAATGCCTAAAAATCCAACTGTTAATTTTGTCTAAGTTTACAGTTATATTTAGCAAACAAACAAACAAAAAAAATCCAATAAGTATGACTAAATCAAATTTGTACCAAGGGGGCATTACAATTAAATTAAATTTGTTGGTACAAATTTACAATTAAATTTGTACCAAGGGGGTAAACGCCCCCATGGGTGGGGTAAAATGCCCCCTGTCTTACAGAGCAGTTTGCTTTATACATTTACAGCAGAATCAGAGTACAGGCAGTTTTAGCTTAAACATAAAAAGAATATAGTCAATAATTATGAATTACAAAATTATAACAGCCTATTTGAAAAATATTGTTTGCTGATGCTAACTAGCTAGCTAACTAACAACCTGATGCTAACTTGAGGTAGCCTAATTTTTAAATATAAAATCCAAATATTTTTATTCAACCAACTAGTTCATATACATTTGATAGTAAAACAAAGGATTTGATGTTCAGAACAGAGTAACTACAGTAATTAAGCCATGCCCCCTGGGGTTAGGTTACCCCACAGACTAGGTTTGAAAAAATATGAAAATATAATTATATTTTTCTTAAATAACATGTACTCCCTATCTACAGGCCTTACTATTCTCATATCATATATAACCGATGTTCTACAAAGTATACAAGAAAAAAAAATCTTTCTTTCAGTAGGGGGCGTTTTACCCCACTTTTCCCTGTATGAGACCTTTTGGAATATCAGTCACAGCATGTTTTAGATGAATAATAATAATAATAATAAAACGTGACTTTTTACGGGCCGTGTGCATGAAGCATGACACCAAGGCTATGCAATTCTATGATTACATTTTTTTTCTCCTTCCCAAGACCACCCACATAATACGTTCCCACCAATTATGAGACAAGTGTCTCATCAGACTGAAGCCCTGTACATCCTCTCATTAATCAGTGGAGTGCTTTAAAAAGAATTCTCTGTGAACTGGGTGAATACTACGCAATTTGCATTTAGCTTTAGCACTTCATCAGCTAACAAAAAAAGAATAATTTGGCCACAAATGGGTTGTTTTTACACAGGAAAAACTAAGGGGAACTTTATTCAACCTTAAAGTGGCTAAAATGGACATAATTAGAGAATTTTATTGTCATGCCAAACAGATGTGTGTGCGTGTGTGTGTGTGTGTGTGTGTGTGTGTGTGTGTGAGTGTGTGTGTGTGTGTGTGTGTGTGTGTGAGTGTGTGTGTGTGTGTGTGAGTGTGTGTGTGTGTGCATGCGTGCGTGTGTGTGTGTGTGCAAAGGTCCTAATTGCTGTTATTTATTTATTTTTATTTTATGTTAGAGGTAGAAAGGGGTAATCTATAGGCTAGAGAATATGTATTGAAAAATTAGCCCTTAAAAATCCCTGAAGTGTTTGTTATTGAAAACAATAAATTTTGTTGTTAAACACTGAGGACACCCGTTTGTAACCAGTCCCATGCACAAGCTCTCACACACACAGCGTGGATCATTCAGTGAGGGAAAGAGGAAACGTGTCGAAGCAGAGCGATGAAAGCATCAGTGAGACACTGTCTTTCAAACACTGGTGCTTCTTTCAGGCCAAGAAGCTCATTTCCTCTTGCACCTGGACTGCTTTGGACATCTTCCCTAGAATCCTTGACCTTTAATGAGCCCCTTTTTATTAGGAAAATAGAACACAGAATTACCAATGTACTAATGAAAACACTGCTTTTATGTGTTTTATTCTTTTATCTTTGGTTTATTTTCTGTGGTTACAATAAAAGTTGTAAATAACTGAGATGGAATAGTGTGCATTTATTTGCTGCTTTGTTGAATTTGTCTACATTGCTGGTAAAGAAACAAAAGACTTCATCTGTTTAAAGAAAAAAAATGAAACAGGAGATTGGAATAGGAAATTTGTGAGCTTGTGATAATCACTGCTTGGTCTATGTCATCAAAATCATGTAAATGTTTTGTGTCTCTCTTTTTTTTTCATTTTGCCATAATAATATTCTTCAACGTATGTGGATATTTTTTGTGTGACCTCTTCTTTATTGTTGTCGTATGCTTTTATTTATTTTAAGTATGTATTTAGAATAGTGTAGTGTAATAGTGGTGGGGTGATAGGATATATAATAGAAATTAAAAGAAAGAAAGAAATGCACTGGTAACTTTACACGTGTAAATAAATGTATCCTATATGCAAACTATAACAAAGAGAAATAAAAAGTTTAGGCCTACTTTGTACTAAAACAAACAGATATTAATATTTGGTCATTTGCTGGGGTGTTTTAAAATGCTAAATTCTCGGGCAATTAAGAAATATAATGTAATAACTGAAAATATGTGCTGAAAGATGATGAAAGAGTCTGAGTTAAGTTATACTGACTTTGTACGCCGATAGGCGACATGAACTCAATCCAGCTCAATTTCCAGAGTCTACTTCCGCGTTTTACCGTCCACCGCTGACGACTGAGAAGAATTTTTACCTTGAGTATGTCCCTATGTATCGCTCCGCAGGGTCGGTGAGACTTTTAAAAAATATCTCCATGCCGTTTTAAAGCGAAATAACTATTATCGTTAGCACATCACACGTCATATATTCGGTTTGTAAATGTTCTGTACGAGTTGTGCGCAATTTAATACTAACACTGTCTTAAACGTTAAAGTGGGTCTATTTGTCCGTTGCAGTGACAGGCAGTGTTTCGGTCTCGCTTAAACATGGCCACCATGATGGAGTAAACGCTACAACTTTAAAATTCATATAATCGAGGAAAACTATGCTTCTTTCACCCAAATGAGGAATGTTTCGACCTGAAATATCGTACCAAACGCCTAATCCACATGAGAGCTTTGGGAAAAGTTTCTTCTTGGATTACATTCTGAATTAAGTTGGCTGGAATCTGGAAAGGAAAAAAGAGAATTGCATCAATTCCGTAAGCATTAGCTACGCTTCATCATTCCTCACGCTTTCCGCCGTATTTATTTGTTTATATGTTGGTGTTTGTAGTTTATGTTTTGGCGAAAGGTGCGAAATTTTGATGTTTGAAGTGGAACGCAAGTGTTGTTTGGGTTTTCATCGGAAAGTGGCGATAGTTGCAGCCTGTGTGAGTGTGAAGAGTAACATTGAAACATTCTAATGACAGATTATAAAGTCTGAGAGCGCGCATATATCATTCCGCGGCTATACGTCTTGGTTTGATCGAGGTCTTTAACTAATGACAGATTACTCCCTAACCTTCAGAATAAACGAAAGTATTGTATTTCGTATCGGACAGTAAAGGACAACGAGGAAGTAACGAGAAAATATCTATCTGGTTATAAAATAAGTTTGTATGCCGTTGGTTTCAGTCCAGAAGAGTAGTGTGGCCCGACGTTGTTTAGTAAACGTCACACCGACGTTTAGTGGCAGAAAGTTGTTTTGTTTTCACAGAGGTCCAGCCATTTTACTCCAGTAAAGTTAAGAGCTAGCTTACTAAACAACTAGTTTCCCTCAACCCAGACTTTATCCTCAGGGCTAACCTGCTGCTTTAAAATGCTGATTGCATAACTGGGGATTCTAAATTCCTTAGTTGTGAGAGTTTTAATCAAGTTATTACGATATAGATATACTTTTCCAGCTTGTAAGGGTTAGCTGACATGACAAGCATTGACAGCAGTGTGACGTGTTATACAGCGTCGATAACTACTATTTTCTCTTTCATGAACATAGTTGAAGTTTTTAATGAGCTCATATTCGTTGAGGGACTATATGTTTTGGTATGTTTTCTTTAAAACCAATTTTGTCCTTTTTTACGAAATTACGTTACCTTTTATTTATACTATACAGTTCATGTATTGTATTTCTAGGCATGGTAAATAAGGTTGTATTTGTCATCCACCCAAAGACTCTTTAAGACTATGTTTGGAATGGCTTACTTTTTACTGTGCACATTATTCATATTTTCTGTATGAAATGAATACCTTAGATGGCTTTATTGTTGTATATTGTGCATTTTGGCAGAGCACAATATGTGTAAAACTGTATGACAGAATGCACCTTGCATTTCCAATGTGATTATTTAATCTTTTCTTCACTCATTATTTGACCAGACTACCTAGTATCTACAGTTAAGACATATATATATATATATATATATATATATATATATATATAT